GAAAGTGGTCAGAGAGGACAGGGTTGTGAGGAAATACTGTTATTTCTTCACATTCTATGCCGTATGTCAGCACAAGATCCAAAGTATGAAGATGAGAATGTGTGGGACTATTCACATTTTGAACAAAGCCAATAGTGTCTAAGATAGCATTAAAGGCTGCTCTTAAGCTATCGCCTTCAATGTCAGCATGGATGTTAAAATCTCCCACTATGATGACCCTGTCAGTTTTTTAATACCAAATCAGAAAGGAACTCTGAAAACTCATCTAAAAATTCAGAGTAAGGACCTGGTGGACGATACAAAGTTACAAAAAGAAGAGGTTTTCTTGCCTTGAAATTTGGATCAGGGAAATTAAGGGTTAAATGTTCAAAAGAGTTGTAGGTATTAACTGTTTTGGGAGTAATCAGTAAGTCAGACTGGAAGATTGCTGCTACTCCTCCTCCTCGCCCAGAACTTCTGGGTATGTGAAAATTTAAATAGCTTGAAGGAGTTGCCTCATTTATGCTCACATAATCCTCTTGCTGCAGCCAGGTTTCTGTAAGGCAACACAAGTCAATGTGATTATCACAAATCAAGTCATTAACTAGCAGACTTTTAGAGGAAAGAGATCTTATGTTAAACAGACCGCATTTAATTGTTTTAACTTTTTCCCCAATTGGAGTTATTTTTATTTTAATTAGATTATCATGATTTACTCCTTTAGGAATATTTGCTAATTTATTAGATTTTGGTCGTGGGCAAGACACTGTCTGGATGGAGTAAAGAGTGGGTAACAGTAGAGAAGCTGCAGAGATGTGTGTTAAACTACAACTCTGCTTCCTGGTCTGCACCCTGGGTGGTCAGGGTTTTGGAGGACTAATAAATGTGGCCAGATTCCTAGAAAGAAGAGCTGCACCATCCAAAGTGGGATGAATGCCGTCTCTCCGAATCAGACCAGGCTTTCCCCAAAAGGATTGCCAATTATTAATGTAGCCCACGTGAAGCACACGACAAGGAATCTTCTTGAACTGAACTTTACTTTCTCCAGCAACAGGTGAGTTACAGACACAGCTGATGGTTTATACACTGCGTTGTTTGGCCTCTAGCTCTGGCACAGACAGCGTTTTAGCAGTGTCCGTAAAGTGAGCCTTACAACCAGAATCATAACAACGAAAGCTCTCGCGATGATAAGGTTAACTAGACGACCGTGTTGCATTAATGACTTAACACTAGGCTCGAAGAAATCAAAACGAAAACAGAACAACAGCCTTACAATATCTCAAATGCATCTGGAGATCTGGGAGGCTTCTTGCTGTCTGCTGACATTCAAATAATGGAGGTCTATGGCGCCCGAGGCAGAAAGGTCCATAAAAGTCCACAAAAAACGTGTCAATATTCCTCCATACTGCTCGTCCAATGTATTCCAAGTGTCCTGAGTGGGTAGCATCCAGAATTTACTCGAAACGAAGTCATTTAGAATGTTTTTAGAGCAAAAACAGTAGTGTATAGGATTTCCTAAAAGCGCGTTCACGAGTCGACGGAAACCGCGGCAGACCAAACCAGATGAAAGTGCGCATTCAGCGTCTGCTCTGCCGATAATGCAAGCGTAGAAGAAGAAATGTGCTGTTTACCTGTGCAAAGAAAGAAACAACGAAAGAAAAATGTCTGAGGACTTCAGTGTTGAGGAAGAGCATGAGTTCTTTGCCGAGCTGAATGCGCTCGTGAACGCGCAGGTGCGCGCTTTCAGGAAATCCTATACACTACTGTTTATGCTCTAAAAACATTCTAAATGACTTCGTTTCGAGTAAATTCTGGACGCTACCCACTCAGGACACTTGGAATACATTGGACGAGCAGTATGGAGGAATATTGACACGTTTTTTGTGGACTTTTATGGACCTTTCTGCCTCGGGCGCCATAGACCTCCAATATTTGAATGTCAGCAGACAGCAAGAAAGAAGCCTCCCAGATCTCCAGATGCATTTGAGAAATCAAAAAAGTACTCCAGAGTGTTGTTCAGCATGGGGGTGAGTAGAAAATGAAGGCTAATCATGTTTTGGGTGCACTATTCCTTTAATGCATCTAAGGTTATGTTGTACCAAAAAAAATGTTTCTTTTACTCTCAGAGTGTTTTTCATGAATTTCTTATAGAACCATAATGTTATTTTCCTTAATATATTCGGGCAAGTTGGCGTTTCTCGTTATTACATTGACATTAATTGTTTCCATCAAAATATCAATATTTTTTAATGTTCTAAAGGTAATAAGGTCTTGTCCTGGATTCCAATAACATTATTGGCTTGACATTTTGAATGTAAAAGTATTTCACTGAGCGCCCTATAAAGGGTTAAACATTTTCTGACCCATACCATGATCCAACCTCCTACCTTCTCCGAGTCTGGTGGGAAAAGATGGAAGGATCCATTTATAAATAAATGAAGCCTGTATGAAAATAATTGATAATTAAATAAATAAAATAAAAAAAAAGCTAGACTTGGAAAAAGAAATCAGTAGTTTTTTTTAATTTAGCTTTTATTTAACCACATTAGTCGTTATGAGATCTAAAATTGCTTTTGCAAGAGAGACCTGGCCAGCAAGACAGTTCCAACTGGATAGTGACCTGAGATGACATGATGTGAATTGGCGCTATAGAAATAAACTGAATAGAATTACTGTATAAAACCTGGAACTCAACGCTATTTCTGACATTTTGAATTGAAAAAGCTTCCTGGATGGGAAGCGAAACATCTTTAAAGTTGGAAGCAAAGTCCAGTGAATTGTTTTTTAACTTTTGTGGAATTCAGAAAGTTCCTCTGTTCTTTCGTTTCAGTTCGTCTTACTAAATGCGTCCAGGTTACAGCTCAGACTGGAATCAACTGCAGGAGGACTTGAAACAGGAGGAGTTGATCTCCAAGTATTTATGGCCTGGTTTAAAACCAGTTTGTTGATAAAGTTTCTGTGATTTTTTAAATTCATTTCACTTCATATTTGAGGTTAGTTTAAAATACATTAGAAAATGTTCGTTTGGAGAGATTTCTTCTCTGGAAAGTATAGAGAGAGTAAGCAGTAAACCGTGTGCTTTTCCTTTACAAATATTTTGGGAACGGGGATCAATTTCCCAGCTGGACCCTGGAGAGCTGTTGATCATTTGATCAGAGCGTCTGGGAAACTGGGTGGGCCTTTCTGGTCCAGAACTGGACTGGTTTAAAGGAAAAGTCGCTCATATTCAGAATCCAAACTTCTGAAAGTTCTTTAAATCTGAAATGATTCCATCCTGTTCAATAAATGATCAGTGTTTTTAATTCAGAGTAATTTTCATGTGAATGTGCTTTACTGGAGGCATCCATGTTTGTCAAAGAACACTACTGCCACCTACTGGTTAGTGACGTCACGGTGCGGTATCGGCTGTTGATCAAGTCCCAGTGCTGTATCTGGTGTTTGTCACAACGCGCTATTATCCAAGTCATCTTGAAAACATTCTTCTTCCAAATGTTGGCTACATATTACGGGTTTTTTCTCTGGCCAGAAGTTCGATGGCAAATCCTCCCTCTACAAGTTGGCGATCCAACGACCAACCCGTCCGCTAGGCTTACCGCACCGTGACGTCACTGCTGGAAGATGGCAGGAGGGAGGGGTTACTATATTTGGGCAAAAATGGCCGCTCCCAGACTCAGTGATTGTTTTTTTTCTTTTACTGAATAAAACTAAATTCAAATTCATTAAATGAGATGCGGCGTTCTCCAAGGCTCCATCTTAGAGCCGCTCCTATTCAGATCTCCATACTCCCTCTAACTCAGACTTTAATAATCTACATCAGTTACCATAGCGATGTAGATGACACCCAGCTGTTCCATCTGCATGTCACCAGGTGACTATGAACCTGTTCCATCTCTGGATAAAACAGTGAATAAATCAACCCATGGATGTCCAGACCTGAATCCAACTAAGAATCTGTAACAATAAGTCTATGATGTCCAAAACCACAATGTGTTTCATTGCAATTATTTATCAGCCAATGTTTAATGATTGGTTTAAATGTATTGATTTATTTATTTCCTTTTTTATCTACTTATTTCTCATTTTGGTTTGATCATTTCTAAACCTTTCTTACCAGTTTTATTTTCCATGAACTGTGGCAATTTGCCCTCACAAAGATGGCAGCTGGGGCTCAAAGCACCTGAAGAAGCGCTTGTTGGACTGCGCCACCTGCTGGAGAGGCGGGGGATTCTTTACTTCTTTTCTTTTTTGTGTTCACTTTTTTTTTTTTATTTACAGATAAATGAGGCTTGATTTCTTCGCTGTAGTTTAATTTAACTAACTGGGAGTCAGTTGATAAAATTGTGGCAGACTTTAACGACTCAGCATTTTATGTAAATGTGTAAACTTGAGTAAAAAAAATCTGTTCTTCACAAAGTTTAATTTTCAAATTTTATTTTCTATTGATGATGTCTTTTGAAGTTTGACTCTGGTGGAAAAAATCCTCCAAAATCTGCAGAAAACAGAAGTTCTATGAAGTTCTGACCCGGTGGTCCTGAAAAGGCGGCAGATGATTGCCAGAACATTTGAATTCAGGTTCCTAAAATAGGACAGAAAGTTTTCCTTCTGCTTCACGGATGTTTGCTGCTTTCTTTGCTGAAATTCTCACTAAACCGACTGGAGTTTGTGTTTCAAATGTACGGAAGGGGATTTGGGCCACTGGAAAAAATTTAAAAAGTTAACTGATTTTTCATGTTATTTGAGTTTAATATGGGGGAAAAAAAATCTGAATTTTAATATTTTCCCCATATAAAATTGAACGCCTCACTTAAACTGTAAGAATTCGGACTTAATCTAAGATTAAAGTAAGAATTCTGTCTTTTTTTCCCCCAACTCAAATGAAATAAAAAACGTTTCTTTGCCAGTGGCCCTAATCCTCTTCCATACAAATGTGACGAATGATGGGTGTGAATATTTTTCCAGGATTCAACATCTCTGATTCATTCAAAAATAAAAATAAAAGACTTTTCTCCCAAACAAACACATGAACCTGTTGAATATCTTTATTCCAAAAATTAAATAGGGCAACTAAAAAGGCTCCAGATAAGAGCAGGAGGTAAAAGGAGCCGTCCTGACATCCAGGTTACAGTATCAAACATGAGAAACGGGTTTGGATTCATTCCTTCATGTAAGAGCCCCACAGAACCACCGCACGCTATTCTGACCCATTATTGCTGTTAATAAAAACAAAAAACAAAAGAAGAAATAACACCAGGGGGCGCTGCAGCTGTGAAATAAATAATGCTACATCACATCCACGCGGACACAGCCGGTACTGACAGAGGCGTTTGGTTTCCAGTTGTGCTCCAGAGTTTCCATGATCGCTCACGGGCCTTTTGGTCCGGTCCGTTCAAGCTCTGCATATTTTATTTACTTGGCATTACACAAATATTACGACACATGAACACAGCATACAGCAGGGCCACGGATCCGCACAGGTTCATGTAGACCAGAACTTTATCAGCACCATCAGCAAAGGCACAGTCTGTGACGGTCAATGGGTTCGAAACTTCGGAACCTCCCCTCTACGGGTCCGACGGTAAACTTCGGAACCTCCCCTCTTTGGGTCCGAAACTTCGGAACCTCCCCTCTACGGGTCCGAAACTTCGGAACCTCCCCTCTACGGGTCCGAAACTTCGGAACCTCCCCTCTATGGGTCAGACGGAACCTCCCATCTACGGGTCCGACGGTAAACTTCAGAACCTCCCCTCTACGGGTCCGACGGTTGACTTCAGAACCTCCCCTCTATGGGTCCGAAACTTGGGAACCTCCCGTGTATGGGTCCGACGGTAAACTTCGGAACCTCCCCTCTAAGGGTCCGACGGTAAACTTCGGAACCTCCCCTCTACGGGTTCGACGGTAAACTTCGGAACCTCCCCTCTACGGGTCCGACGGTAAACTTCGGAACCTCCCCTCTACGGGTCCGACGGTAAACTTCGGAACCTCCCCTCTACGGGTCCGACGGTAAACTTCGGAACCTCCCCTCTACAGTTCCGACGGTAAACTTCGGAACCTCCCCTCTACAGTTCCGATGGTAAACTTCGGAACCTCCCCTCTACGGGTCCGACGGTAAACTTCGGAACCTCCCCTCTACGGGTCCGACGGTAAACTTCGGAACCTCCCCTCTACAGTTCCGACGGTAAACTTCGGAACCTCCCCTCTACGGGTCCGACGGTAAACTTCGGAACCTCCCCTCTACGGGTCCGACGGTAAACTTCGGAACCTCCTCTCTACGGGTCCGACGGTAAACTTCGGAACCTCCCCTCTACGGGTCCGACGGTAAACTTCGGAACCTCCCCTCTACGGGTCCGACGGTAAACTTCGGAACCTCCCCTCTACGGGTCCGGCGGTAAAGTTCGGAACCTCCCCTCTACGGGTCCTGCGCTAAACTTCGGGACCTCCCCTCTATCATGTAAAAACCCGAAGCAGAGCAGGAAGGAGGCGCTGATGGATCATTTCAGTGGAGGTTTTCTAACCGCAGCAGAACCAGGCTGGAGGACGAACTCCGGCCCGAGAAATCACTCCTTCCTCTGGTTCTGATCACAGCCTGGGTTTGAGATCCAGATCTGTGATGCAGCGAAGAACATTTCAACTTTTATTAAGCACCAGTTTCACAAGAAAATGAAGAGATGACAGAAACAATTATTAAAAGACGGGGCTGCCGATATTCTGGACATCGGATTCGTTTCCAGAGATTACAAACCGATTATATTATTTAAAATACTAAATAAATATAGAGATACGATTTTAAATCTAATTTACAGGAAAGACCATCTTCATCAAAGGTCCTTCAGGTTAATTGGTTCTGGTACCACTGGGTTCTGAGATGGTAAAATGAAAACTTTGCATTAATTTTCCCAAACTGGCAGATGATCTTTATCCTTTCCCAATGAAAACCTTAAGAATTAATTTCTTCATTTTTAATACAAACTCGCCTCATTCTTTAATTATTAGAAAGTTGCTTTTAAATAATTCCCCGCAGCTAAAACTCACAAATTCATCATTAAATGATTCCATCTGTCGAACCTCGACCTGATTGGACGACGGGGATTCAAACGGTCCAATCACAGGTATGGTATTTCAGCTAAACAGGTCCTGAAAGGGAAATAAAACTAAATAAACATATTTTTAGAAGTTCAGATGAGAATGTTTTGTAGAACCAACTTGGGAGGCAGAACGGAACCAGAACCAGAACCACGTCTGATTGGACAGTTCATCGCCATCCGGTCAGGTCCAGGTTTGTTTTTAGAACCAACTCAGGGTTTGATCTAAGCTTTGAATAAAACCCAACCAGAACAAAAACAAAACACCGAAAAAAAAAAACATCAAGGTTTTCAACTTCATAAATCTGACAGGTAAGTTAAACGAGATATAAAACTTCTGATTTCTGGACATTAATTGAATAAACTCAGATTCTGATTATAATCCATAAATTCTTCTCTTAAATAGGTCCTTTAATTGTTTTAGACAAAAAGTGGCTAAACGTGCGTTTGGTTTTCATCTGCAGCTATAAATATATCTTTATTCAGACTTCAAAACGCTTCAATTGAAGGAGATTCAAGGCATCTGTGAGACGGGTTCTGGAGGTCCATTCTTGGTCAAATACGTCGAACGCGCTCCGACCTCAAATTTTCTTCAAGTAAAAGTGGAGGCAAACGGAACAAACGGTTCTGATGGTTCCAGTCCGATGAAGCAGCGCCAGAAAACGGGCTGGACGTGGCGAGCCAATCGGCAGGAAGCCGCGAGCGAGCAGGCACGTAGGTTTGGTCCGAGTGATGAAGCCCCGACGGCTTCATTTGGGTTAGAGTGAGGAGGCTCAACGGCACTGCGGCAGAAAAGCCCAAAAACAAAAAAAAAAAGTCAGATTCTTATTGCATAACGAAATCACAGAGACGTTTCCGTCACAACGTCCGGTTTGAGGGTTTTTCCTCCGACCAAACGAGACGGTTTCCGACCCAAAACCAACATGACCTTAAACTCTAACAAACGGCGCCTGAGTTTGGCATCTTCAATCTGAGGATGTTAAGTTTGATGATTAATTAGCAGAAAATGATCAAATCGGAACCATCTGCAGAATCTGTCCAATCAAAACATTCCCTCTGTACCGGCCGATCACTTTCTGACCCTATCAGGCACTTCGATACAGACGGCCAATCAGAACAGGGAGTTCAGACGCCAGACGTCGATCAGAAACCGTTTCAGCGGACAGACAGAACCGTCTAAACACTATGTCTGTTTCTCAACCAAAGATCAGAAATCAGGAGGATTTAAATAAAAGGAGAAAGAGATCCATAAATAAGACGAAAAGTAAAACACAAGCGGAGCTGGAGGAGCTTCCCAGGTCTCTGCGAGGCCTTCACCCCCCCGCCCACGTAAAGCGGCTCAGCAGTCGGATCAGAACCGCTTCCTTCACAGCATGTAAACCGGGAGCAACTACAGACATTTATGAGGTTTCCTCTCCGATCTCTTGTGGAGCACCGTGGGCCGAGAGGGGCGTTCAGGCGAAGTACATGGTCCTCAGGGTGTCGTGGTGGATCTGCACCGCCTTGGCCAGAACCTGGGGGTCCCTGCCGTTGCTCTGCCCTGAGATGTGGCTTCCTTCGGCGCTGAGGATGTAAATAAAAACACGGTGAGAAACCACAGATCTGAACAGTTCGCTTTATTTATAGACGTTTTTTCCTTTAAAGGTATACTATGCAACCGGTGTTGATTATCCAGCGAGGCTCCCCCTAGAGGGCGAAAGTATAAGTGCACTGTCGTAAATATGCTCAGCTGTTCTCCTGGTTTCTCCCTCAAGCCAGGCGGTTGTTTTGAGCTTAGCAGACAAGCGAACGCAACGAATCACCACATCTACTGCGGTAAGTGACTATTTTGTTCCAATTTTTGAGTTTGAAAATTAAGCATGTTTTCATACATTATTTGTTATGCATGTGTCTAAATAACAAAGATTGTAGTAAGCCAAGTTGGAGTTTCCCATACATTTATCCAACTGTCGTTGGGGAAATGGGGTTCTGATTTGGTCTAAACAACCTTATGCATGCATCGCCACTGAGCTAGCAACGAGCATGCCTTTCACTGGGGGCGTGTAGCAGTTCTCGCCGTAAAGCAAGACCGACTCTCACGATGCACGAGACTTCTGAGCCTGTGGGTGCGGGCTAGAGACTGACATTTTTCGGGAATCCCACGGGTCACGGGATTCCCGTGGGATTCCCGTGGGATGGGAGTCAGTATCAGTAACGATCACGGGATTGGGACGGTACAGGATTAAACATTAACGGGAGCAGACGGGAGCGGGAGCAAACCAATAGTAACTTCCGCTCTGAGTTTTTCACCCGCGCTCAAAAACAACAAGAATGGGAGTGGTGCGGGAGCGGGAGTCATTCTGAATGGGAGCGGGATGGGAGTGGGAGTAATTTCACCAGGAGTGGGACGGGACAGGATTTAGATTTCTACTCTGGCCCGGGATCGGGACGGGACACCCTTTTTATCTGTGGGAGTGGGACGGGACAGGAGTGAAAATCCACTCCCGTGTCAGTCTCTAGTGCGGGCCGAGGGCTCCTGCAATTGCAAGTACGGTATTTCCCCTACAGACCACCAGGGCGGCCGAGAAAACCTTTGTTCGACCTGAAATGACTCATTTAATCATCCAAAACGTTATGGAACACATTAATTAACTGAAAAATGTTGCATAGTATGCCTTTGAAGAATTGGCCTCTAAATAACAAACATTTATTTTCTTAAAGCCAGATTTCTGCCAAATTTTTTTTTACCATCTAATCCAAATGAAAACAGTGAGCTCCTCCTCCATATTGAACAGAAACGGTACCAGCTGATTAACGTATTATGGTCTCCACTACAGGGACAGACTGGGAACGTTTTTAAATCAAAGTTTTTTTTGTTGTTGCTCCAGTTTTCTTTAGTTCAGTTTGTGGAAAAAAAAGAAACTATTCAACTGTTAGTCAGTTTTTAATGAAGAAACTTTAAGCTAGTAGGTTTCATGCAGCACTAAGGATGCCAGAGTGACTCGCAGCTCAGAGTCGAGACGCTGAAAGTGAAAAAAATCCAGATTAACGCCAAAGATGGAGGAAAGAGTTCCTGACAGAAGTTCCAAAGTTCCTGCAGAGTGAAACCCACCTGTCGTGCTCTTTGTCCACCAGGTGGTAGCGCGCGCGGAAGGCCACCAGGTGGGCGTAGTAGGCCGGCGCCGGTATGGAGACGGAGCGCGTGCAGCGGACGTAGGTGTGGCACAGCTGGTAGGTGAGGAGCTGGAACTCGTCCGCAGTGAAGCAGTTATCGTCCCATAGGACGTGGTAGTGGGACGGGCGGCTGGTTCCCTGTGGGGAGGAGAGAGGCGGCGAGGCGATCACACGATCAGCAGAGGAAGAGGAAGCAGGATGAGGAGCAAACGCTGAGGAAATTACCTGGATTCCAGCGTGGCTGCACAGGTAGAAGTCAAACTCGTAAGGGTGGGTGATGTCCGTGTCCACGGTGGTTCCGGCAGGAATGTTCCCGCTTCGCCCCACCTGACAGAACCAGACAGAACCAGTTGTTGGGTCATAAACCATGATAATATTTTTGGACATTGAGGACCAACGTCCATGTTTCATCTTAACATGTAAACTGCTCTAGAATCCCCTCTCAGCCCGGCTAACTCCACAGGAAACCCCCCCACAGAGGTTTGAAAACAACCACAGCACACAGGATTTCTTTCTCTTTCAGTGAAGCTTCCCAGGGTTCACATTGGAAGAGGAAACCACCATGGAGACCCAGGCCCAGATCTCCAGAATGACCAAGGCTAATTCGTGATGGCTGAAATGTCAGAACTGAACTGCTGCGAATCAGAATGTTCGCACTATTCCTCTTTGAGTTACAGGAATGTCTAACGATAGGTTCAGACCGCCAGCAGCAGAGGCAGCTTGTTTCCATGCATGCTACGAAGCTAACGGGGTAGATCACAGGGTACGCTATGCTACAAAGCTAACAGGCTAGATCACAGGGTACGCTATGCTACAAAGCTAACAGGCTAGATCACAGGGTACGCTATGCTACAAAGCTAACAGGCTAGATCACAGGGTACGCTATGCTCAAAGCTAACAGGCTAGATCACAGGGTACGCTATGCTACAAAGCTAACAGGCTAGATCACAGGGTAGGCTATGCTACAAAGCTAACAGGCTAGATCACAGGGTACGCTATGCTACAATGCTAACCGGCTAGATCACAGGGTACGCTATGCTACAAAGCTAACAGGCTAGATCACAGGGTAGGCTATGCTACAAAGCTAACAGGCTAGATCACAGGGTACGCTATGCTACAAAGCTAACAGGCTAGATCACAGGGTACGCTATGCTACAAAGCTAACAGGCTAGATCACAGGGTACGCTATGCTACAAAGCTAACAGGCTAGATCACAGGGTACGCTATGCTACAAAGCTAACAGGCTAGATCACAGGGTACGCTACGCTACAAAGCTAACAGGCTAGATCACAGGATATGCTACGCTACAAAGCTAACAGGCTAGATCACAGAGAACGCTACGCTACAAAGCTAACAGGCTAGATCACAGGGTACGCTACGCTACAAAGCTAACCGGCTAGATCACAGGGTACCCTACGCTACAAAGCTAACAGGCTAGATCACAGGATACGCTATGCTACAAAGCTAACAGGCTAGATCACAGGGTACGCTATGCTACAAAGCTAACAGGCTAGATCACAGGGTACGCTATGCTACAAAGCTAACAGGCTAGATCACAGGGTACGCTACGCTACAAAGCTAACAGGCTAGATCACAGGGTACGCTATGCTACAAAGCTAACAGGCTAGATCACAGGATACGCTATGCTACAAAGCTAACAGGCTAGATCACAGGGTACGTTTAACTAAAGGTTATTGGTTCCTGATTAAGCAAATCATTTAATAAAACATTATTTTCAAGCTTTTGGGACCTTTAATGTGTTAAAGGCTCCCAGTCTGTGCTGGTTTTACTCCAGTCTCACCCGCTCGTTCCGATCTGCGCAGAAGAGACGGGTGTGATGGCGCTTCTGGACCACGATAAAGGTGATCCCCGGCTGGTACTCCTTCTCCAGACTGATGCACGCCTCCCTGATGGCCAGCAGCTCGTAGTGCAGCACCTGCAGAGACAGACGATACGGAGGCCCATAGTCCTCAGATCAGCGTCAACTTAGCAGGAGCCGACGGCCATGCAGCCTTTAGAGTCTGATAAAGTCTCCACGGCTCAGAACTGGGACTTAATTAGGGATTATTTCTGCTTTGGTGCCTCTGAATTCATCGTAAACATACATGAATGCTTCCAGGCTTCAATCTGCTCATCAAAGAATGAGGATGAATCAGACTTAGACAAACTTTACTGTCATTTTATATACACAGAGTGTACAGAAAATGAAAATTCTATGCATACAGCTTTTCTTGTGTTTCATTGTCCTGTTTGGAGATCAGAACTGAGCAGGATGAGAAGCGTCACCTGTCTGAACTGCCCCTCCGACACGCCGTCTCTGTAGAAGATGATCCTGGTGGGCTTGTACCGCGTCGACTTGTAGAACTGGATCAGGAGCTCTCGCACCATGGAGGCCAGGTCCTGGATGACCTCCTGCCTGGGTCTCTGGACGCGGACTGTGGCGCAGTACCTGCTGGGGTGGGCGTCCATACTGCCGACCACCTGCAGAGCAACATGATGGATGCTGTGAAGATGTCAAGGACCTTCCCTTTATTTAACCTGCAGGGCTGTTACAGGCAACAGCTGTAGGGGGCGCCAGAGAGCCAGAAACCTGCCGCAGTTTGAGGAGTAAACAGCTGGATGGTTATGGAGTGAAATCTACTCCATTATCGTTGTAATGAAAATGTTTTATAAATGAAAATTCAATTTAAAAAAAGGATAATCCACGGATAAAACTTTGAAATCTTCTTCATCAAAAAGGGTATCTCTTATTTTATTTTTAAAAATTATTTTTATAAATTGCATTTTCCAGATCACATTCTCTCACCTCTACTTTGCTCTACCTTTCTTATACCTCATCAAAAATACTTGCTGGATCTTGGCTTGTTTTCCAGTGTAGTCCTGTTTCTCTGACTGTGACTAACTGGATGTGCTCTCTTCATCCTCTGACATGGGAGCTGGCTCGGAGCTCGTCTGCCTGGCTGTGTGTTTCCTGGACGGGGCCGCCTGTGGAGCTGGTTGACAGTTGCCTTTTGTATCTATGCTTCTTTTTCTATGTCTGCTTCTGTCTCCTTGAACCCCAGTGGCCCTCAGCAGATAGCTGCTCACACTGAGCCTGGTTCTGCTGGAGGTTTCTTCCTGTTCAAAGGGAGTTTTTCCTCTCCACTGTCGCTACAAGCATGCTTAGTGTGAGGGATTGCTGAAGAGTCAACGCAATAGACTGGTTTTAGATAGAAATCAATCTGACTGGATGATCTGGTGAACTGTAAAGGACATCTCAAACACGTCATCTCAAGGCACTTTACAGTTCATCAGATCCTCCAGAATGATGAAAAAGGGGTCCCTATGTCCTCCAGCAGTCTAAGCCTATAGCAGCATAACTATAGAGATAGCTCAGTATAACCTGAGCCACTCTAACTAGAAGCTTTATCAAAAGTGTAGCTTTTGGGACCTTAGATTTGCATTTATCCCTTTAGTTTTGTACGTAAAATAAACTTTAAGCTACGTCAGCGGGCGTGTATCCTTTAAGTCATGTACAAAAGAAACAATTTAAGGTCAGATCACCATACGCTTCAAAAAACACCAAAAAATAAGTAATTCGATTGTTTTACTGTAAATGACTAAAGGGATACACGCCCGTTGAGGTAGTTTAAGTTTATTTTTCGTAAAAAACTAAAGGGATAAATGGGTATTGAATATCGGTATGCTGGTCTGATGCTCATCTGACAGAATCACAGCAGAGGAACCAGGTGCAGGTGACCTGTGGGATGTTCTCACCGCGGCGATAGAGGGCTTCTTCCCGTCGCCGGCTGGAGGATGAGTGACGTCCGCTCCCAGGAAGATGATTGGCTGCTGGAACACAGACGGTCTGGTGGAAACGAAGGCAGAAAACAGCCATGGTTAATGGCTCCCTGAGGATGAAGAGTTCAGGGGGAAAATGTCGTTGGAGCCTCACCGCTGGTTCGGAAGCAGGATGTTGTTGATTCCTCCCAGTTTGACGTTGATCTTTAGGCAGAGGTTGGACAGCGTCTGAGGGGACGTCTTCACCACGTTCTTCACCTGGACGCACTGGGTGGCCATGCCGAGCAGAGTGTCTCCCACCCGCTTCACCTCCGCTGTGGGTCGACAGAACCTTCAGTTATACCGGACCGATGACCTCACTTCCTGTCGACGTGAGGAGACAAGGAGGCAGGTTTGTTACCGTAGACGGGCGTCTTCCCGGGCAGGATGACGATGATGAGCTGCAGCCCGGCGTAGGTGTTCTTCAGGTGCCGGAACATGGGCTCCACGCTGTCGGCCCCCTGGGCGTATTTACAGAAACAGGGCTGGCCTTGGATCGGCATCCCAGCGTCCTTGGAGATTTTCCGCAGCTGCTCCGTGAAGCTCCTGAGGGGGAAAGCAGAACCAGTGGTAAGAATCTGCTGGGAACTCTGGGAGGCGTTTTGGTTTGGACCCTCCACAGGTTGGTCCGGGTTCAACTGAGCTGAACCAACTTTTTATTTCACATCAACCTGAACTTCATTCTGTTTTATTTACCTTGGTAAATTGACCTGAAACTTCTGACAAAATAAACATTAAATTATACATTTTAATATTTAAACACGGCTGTACACTGATTTAATATCTATACCTACGCTTAAAACTTTCCTTTTTGATAAAGCTTCTAGTTAGAGTGGCTCAGGTTATCCTGATCTATCTCTATAGTTCTGCTGCTATAGGCTTAGACTGCTGGAGGACATAGGGACCCCTTTTTCATCATTCTGCTTCATTCTATCTCTATTCTCCCACTCTGCAGAATCTATTAGTTCAATCTCTAACGTTCTGCTCTCTCTGCTTTTTCTCATAGTAGCTTCATCTGGTCTGTTCATATTGTGCTAAAAGTTTTTAGTCCATGTTGAAATATTGTTCACATTTTTACAGATTTGTTTAAAGTTTTCCATTTTTCAGAAGCAATTTTTTAAAATTCAGTTCTTTTATTTGATTCCTAAGAATATAATATAAATAAATATTAAACAGTATCTACAATATATCTGTATTTATGTCGGCTTAATAAAATAATTTAAAACATTTTTTTTACATAATAACTTTGATCAATTATATCCACTTTAGCACAGAACAAAATACATAAGCAATAGTTTTTAAATCATTGTATTATTATCACTGGAGGGTTTTATTTTAAATTTATTATCATTTAAAAATATTATATATAATTATTATTATTTTAATATAATAATATTTAATTAGTAGCAGTCATAAGATGTTTTTTTTATAATTTGTTTGCTCTTTAAAGATGTCTTTTAAACAGAAAAAAGTAAAGGTTTATTCATAGTAGTATAATAGGGAGACATTTTATATTATAATTCTTATTAATAAATTTACAGTCATGGCCAAAAGTATTGAGAATGACACAAATATTATATTTTCACCTGATCTGCTGCCCTCTGGTTTTCATGTCAGATGTTGCATCACATCCAGAAATACAACTGCAATCATATTCTGAGTAACCAAAGCTTTTAATGACAGAATGAGTCAATATTTGCAGTGTTGACCCCTCTTCTTCAGGACATTTCTCCCTGGCTGCTCTCAATCAACTTCTGGACCAGATCCTGACTGATAGCGTCCATTCTTCCACAATCAATGCTTGCATTTTGTCAGAATTCCTAGGTTTCCGTTTGTCCGCCCGTCTCTTGATGATTGACCACAAGTTTTCAATTGGATTAAGATCAGGGGAGTTTCCATGGACCCATGGTCTCTCTGTTTTGTTCCCTGAGCCAGTTAGATATCAGCTTTGCTTTATAGAAGGTGCTCCATCATGCTGCTCTTGGACGGTTGGGAGAAGTTGCTCTCGGAGGACATTCTGGTTAATCTGACTCAGCAAGATGGATTTGCTCCGCATATCTATCTGGAAACCTTCCGTTGAAGTAATTTTGGGAAGGGGCGAAAATACTGGTTAGCTGATTGGCCTATGTTGGTGATAGACGGGCCAAATAAACCAATCAGATCAACGAAGCATATGACGTACTAACAGAGCGACGATGAAAACACAACCACAAGCCAGGCTACTCTTGCCGAAACCAGTCGGGAGAAGAGCAAAAACATCTTTTCCTCTGAAAAAAGCCTCCAGAGCAGTGTTTTGCTCTTCTTTCAGTGAAGAAATACTCTGTAATTCCCATACAACTTGCTCGATAGCCAGGCTAACGCTAGTTTCATCGGCTGAAGCCGCCATGTTCTTTAGACTGAACTGTCGCGCTTCTCGTTGCGTCACACCTCAACCCGCCTCAAAGCCAACTCTGATTGGACGTTCGTTTGGTGAACGGCTCCAAATTTTCTTTAACGGAGATTCTCCAGACTGATTAGCGAGTGAAACCTTGAAAGCTCGCGAGATCAGGATGGTCTCACGAGGCTACATTCTGGTACCATTCTTTATTCACAGCTGTGTTTTTAGGTCAGACTGTGAGAGAGCCGACTCCCTTGGCTGAGAAGCAACCCCACACATGAATGGTTTTTTCAGGATGCTTTACAGTCGGCATGAGACCAGACTGGTGGTAGCGCTCACCTCGTCTTCTCCCAACAAGCTGTTTTCCAGATGTCCCAAACAATGGGAAAGGGGATTGATCAGAGAAAATGACTTTCCCCCAGTCCTCAGCAGTCCACTCCCTGTACCTTTAGCAGAATATCAGTCTGCCCCTGATGGTTTTCCTGGAGAGAAGTGGCTTCTTTGCTGCCCTCCTTGAGACCAGGCCTTGCTCCAAAAGTCTCCGCCTCAACTGCCTGCTGCCATTCCTGGGCAAGCTCTGCACCGCTGGTAGCCCGATCCCGCAGCTGAAACACTTTTAAGAGACGGTCCTGGCGCTTGCTGGTCTTTCTTGGGCGCCTTGGAGCCTTTTTGGCAACAATGGAACCTCTCTCCTTGAAGTTCCTGATGATGCCATAGATTGCTGACTGAGGAGCAATCTTTCTAGCTGCCATTCTCTTTCCTGTTTGGCCATTTTTGTGCAGTGCAATGATGACTGCATGTGTTTCTTTAGAGATAACCATGGTTCACAGAAGAGAAACAATGATGCCAAGCACCAGCCTCTTTTTAAAGTGTCATTCTGACTGAATCCTGACAGATTGATCTGCAGCCATGTCCTCATCACCACCCACACCTGTGTTAATGGAGCAATCACTGAAACCATGTTAGCTGCTCCTTTAAGGCAGGGCTGCAATGACGCTGAAATGTGTTTTGGGGGATAAAGTTCATTTTCTAGGCAAATATTGACTTTGCAATTAATTGCTGTTACTCTGATCACTCTTTAGAACATTCTGGAGTAAATGCAAATAGCCGTTATAAAAACTGAAGCAGTAGACTTTGTAAATATTAACATTTGAATCATTCTCAAAACTTTTGCCCATGACTGTATACATAATAGGAAACCTGCTTAAGTTATAATATATTACATATATATATAACAGTTGTCAAAATTCTATGGTATGATTTTTATTGTTAATAATAATTAAATGAAATGTTCTGGAAGGAAACCAGAAGTTGAGGAGGACCTTTTAATTCATACTTAGTTCCTGAAATGGATCCAAATCCCATCTTTTAGGACTTTCGGCCTCAATCCCAGTTTTTCCCTCCATTTACGAACTAATATCAATAAACGCTTTTTTAAAGGAGCCAGCAGCCCGACAGACGACAAATAAAACACTGGATGTTCTCACTTCAGGATCTCCTCTCTGCACTGTCGCTGGGTGGCGAAGCAGGCGATGGCCCACATCTTGATCTCCACTCCGGTGTGGAACTGCTTACCCCTCATGTCCCACACGCCGTGGCTGGGCGTGGCCACCGTACGGTTCTGCAAAGAGAGAGAGCGCAGAGGAGCGGTCGGTGCCGACGGCCGTTCAGACACAAGCAGAACTGGGAAACAAAAGGGCAGCAGGGCATGCAGACGCACACACTGAGGAGTCATTAGCAGCGTAATGCTACGTTCACACCTAACGCCATTGAAGCAGCAGAAGCAGCTACTTTACAGCAAAGTCAGTAGTTAACGTGCATTAAGGTGCATCAAAAGGTCAGCAGGTGCAGCGCCTCATGAGCTTTTGATCGTGACGCGCTTCAGAAGCAGCGGATGTTGGAAAAATAAAATTTTTGCAGCTTGATGCGCTACATCAACCAATGAGAGAAGCTGATCTGGGAGGTGGCAGGGAGTCAGACACAGCACTGCTGATGCAGAGCGCTATGATCACTCCTCTGAAAAGTTTATTAACGCCTAAATTAACTTCAAATGAATATGTTGGCTTTTATTATCCTGCTGCCTGCAGTTTGTAGCACAGACCTGAAAAACGCTAACATCTACTTCCAGCCGCCACCAACAGGAGGGGAAAACCCCCAAGAGGCGAGCGGGCCTGAGGCAGCTGCTGCTGGGGATTCCCAGTGACAGCGCAGCGCCGCTGTAGGAACCAGATCTGGTCGGGTCCTGCTTCCTGCCAGTGACGTAACGCTATATGATTGGCTGAACCATAGATATCCATAATAAAGGCTAGATGTCTTACGGCGGAGTCTCAAACGTCATCACCGGCGGCCATCTTGCCTCAGGCAGGCTTTCTGTTGTGCTCTGTGGTACCTAATGAAGGCGAGTGATCAGCACGAACTCAAATACTCTTACCTCATTGAATTCTAGACGGATTTACAAACAGTTTGGTTTCTTACAAACATTATGAACGTGGCTATAATTCTTGATGCTTGAACAAGTCGAAATTGCGGATTTTTTTGTCGAAAATGACTTAATCGTGCAGCATAGTTGTGCATCACGGCTACTTGCGCAAGTTATCAAGGCTGAGACTATTAGTCAATTATATAGGTTTTACTGACACCAATAACGATTGTATGACAATTAATCTTTGGTGTAAATTACAATCTTTGTGGATGTGGTTGTAGTTATTAGTTGGCTAATAACAATAATCTGAGTGTTGTTGTATTTTCATTATTAGCCTAACGTTAGCTGGCTAATAACAAGAAGCTGCAAAGTGAGAACTAACGTTAGTAAGTTAGCAGCTAACGTTACAGTTTAGCTAGCTGCTAACGTTAACCAGCAACTTTACATCAGTGGAAGAGGCAAAATTTAACATGATTTCCAATCGATTTGGTTTGTCAAAACATCTTACATTATGTTACAGGAATTTGCTGGGTTTATTAAAAGGAAGATGCCAGACTTTTGCTATGACATAATAGTATTACAAGATTGTTGTTGACTCAAAGCTTTTATAAGTTTGTATTAGTTTCATTTGGACAACTTAAAGATGGTGTTGTGCCAAACATTTTCAACTTTCCAGCTCATCTTCAAAGGGCATGTGTATCATTGAAATTTAATCACATATTGATATACCAATCTTATACACCGTGAATTGTTGTTGGTCACTTTTGTTTTTGTTTCTGCAGGTTATATAATGTGTAAGCAGGAGGAGAAGATCTTCCATCCCCGTTTACTGACATTCCTGCGCTAGTACATGACCACAGCTACCTTCCTGTCGGCTTTGATGGCCTTGTGGAAAACGCTCATTACACAGAAGCTCAATAAAACCTTCCTTTTCAAAGGGCATTAGCCAAGCTATGTTTTTTGGGTCCTTTTTTAAATCTCTGTCTTCCATGTGTATACCATCACAGTAGTGTAGGTGGGGATTTCAACATGCTACATCTATATATACTTGTGAAGGGGACTATTGTACCAATTTTAATAGCAAATAAATGTCACTTTTATAATGGTTTAAAAATAGGAACTTTTTTGTGTAATTACCCCTGATATATAATCCGAATAGTCTACATGAAACTTCAAAGTGTTACCTTTAATTTGAAACCTGGATTATGCTTCTACACCAAGAGGTTGCCACACAATAAGCCTTTTTTGTCAGTATTTCATATTTTATTATAACAATAATATTCATATTATAAAAGTATGTATGTAAATATAAATAAATTAGGACTGTGAAATAATTAATCACACCCAAATAAAGGTGTCTATTTATATATATATATATATATATATATATATATATATATATATATATATATATATATATATATATATATATATATATATATATATATATATATATATATATAAATAAGATAGATATCTATATAGATATGTATCTATATAGATATATCTATATATATAGTATTCAGTACACTGAGTTTTAATAGCATATATTGATTTAACATAAATACCTTGTGCATGTGTATATTTATTGCACCTGTATGTTCTATTCAATGTTCTTTTCATATGAAATTCCATGGTTATAATTATTCATAAGTGTGCAGTATCATAACTACATGTCTGACTTTTGTTTAACAAACCAAACAGTTTGAGAATCGTTAGACAATTGAGGAAGTTATGGTTATTTAAGTACATGCGCCTTTAAAACACAATGTTACGAAAGAGCGAGCTGCCTGTGGCAAGATGGCCGCCACGTGCGGACGTCGACCCCCATTGGCCAGCAGCGCGGACGAGACATCTAGCCTTTATTATGGATATCTATGGGCTGAACGTTGCCACATGACGTAAAACATTGTGGTTGCCTAGACAACGATAATAACTTCCCGCAGCGTCGATGTGACGAGTCTGGGAGCATCTGTAGCGTTAGCGTGTCTAATGAAAGATGAGGTTTTACCTGATTAATAACAAAGCTGAGAATATCTGTTTATGGTGAATAAAGTAACTGTTACACCATGATATAAAGGTTAGCCTCTTTTAGCTCCGTCAGTTAGCCATATTAAGCTACACTACTTTTAAATTTGTGTCAACAACAACTGTCAGTTTTCTACAAGTAGAATAAGTGTTTTATTTGTCTAAAATCTCTACGAAAGTCATTTTTTTAAGATGTTCCATTTGTCCTCATCTGCCCTCAGATCTTAATAAAAAGAATAAAAATAAGCGGAGACTTTTAGTGTCTCCTCGTTAAATATTATTAGAAGGATATTAATAATATTATTTTTCAGTGAATGAGGTTTTAATAGGAATAGTTGGGGTAAAACTTTTCTACTTCTGTTATTTTCTGTAGTTTCTCAAATAAAAAAAAAGCATAACGATATTACAGCTTTCATTGATTTATTTCAAACCTGAAACTTTGTTTAGCCTGTAAGGTGTTAAATAAAAAAAATAAATAAAATGAACCAATGAATCGAATCGTATCGCATCATGGTGTGTTATTGAGTATCGGAAATAATCGAATCGCTAGGTCAGCAAATCGATACTGAATCGAATCGCCATGATGGATGTGATTTACACCCCTATTAATAACATGTAACTCCAAAAGAGATTTCATCCTTAAGAAACAGGTGCAATACAGTTTGTCTGAATGGACTTGCTGTATGATGACGTCATAACAAGGGGCGGGGCCCCGAGCAGATCTGGTACCTAAACCGGTATGTGGGGGTCTGAGTGGCTCCCACAGAGAAATAATCTTTGAAGGCAGGATGGTAATCTGGATGAACTGACTGCACAGACCATGTTTTCAGGAGGACTTTCTCACTTCAACATAGATTCTAACTACTTTTTACCCGCTGATCACAGCTAATATAGCAAAGCTGCTCTCTGGCATCGAACACAGGAGCAGCAGAAGCATCTGGACTCACTTTACTGGACGTCTGACCTTAATGTAGACAAGCATCAGAAATGAAGCAGCAGAAGCTTTCTTTGATGGCCAAAACGTGCAGTGTGAACGTAGCATTACACCTCCTTATGAACGAGCAAAATGTGCTGCATGTTTAGAGACAGGAAATCTACACAGAGTCAGGATGATGCAAAGAAAAACAGTCTAAATATCTCAAACTTTCAAATCAGAAGAAAAGTGGAGCTGCAGAGAAACAGGATTTCTCCACAGAAAACTTCCTTTTAATCTACATATATATATTTTGTTTTGTTTTGTTTGTTTGTTTTCTAGCCAGTTTTATTGAAATGTGCATTTTCTCATTTAAATACATTACGTTATAATTTATATGGTGAAATTGTTTTGACAAAAACATTTAAAAAAATAAAATAAAGAATTTGAATTGCCAATTAAGGCCTTAATTTAAAAAATAATGATTTAATGACTTTTAATGTTCTTTAATGACCCGCGGAAACCCTGTGTACAGTTTTCATTTAGTTTACTCCTCCCCCACGTTGTCCAGATAAAAACTTAGTGATGCTGTCGGACCCATAGGAACCAATAATGGTTACAGAGAAAATATTGTCAATTATTTCAATGTTTGATATGGGTCAAAAAAATAAAATCCTATTAATGACGTCAATATTTTAAAGGAAAAGTCCGCTCATATTCAGAATTCAAACTTCTGAAAGGACTTTAAATATAAAATTATTACATACTCTTCAATAAATTATGAGTGTGCTTTACTGGAGGCATCCATGTTTGTCAAAGAACACTACTGCCACCTACTGGTTAGTGACGTCACGGTGCGGTATCGGCTGTTGATCAAGTCCCAGTGTTGTATCTGGTGTTTGTCACAACGCGCTATTATCCAAGTCATCTTGAAAACATTCTTCTTCCAAATGTTGGCTACATATTACGGGTTTTTTCTCTGGCCAGAAGTTCAATGTAAAATCGTATTCCAGCATCCAGCTACCATGCACGTGGGCATTGTCAGTTTCACTATAGCTCTGGTGAATTTCAATGGTGAAGTCCTCTGGAAATCTTCAATAATTGTTGTTGATTGCAGATGTGTCTAGTAGTTCCCATTGATTTAGCTTGTAAAGCGGGGAGAATGGCGCTAGGCTTACCGCACCGTGACGTCACTGCTGGAAGATGGCAGGAGGGAGGGGTTACTATATGTGGGCAAAAATGGCCGCTCACAGACTCAGTGATCTCAAAGAAAATTATTTTTAATTTTTGACTCATTAACGCTAAATTCATTAAATCATCGCGAACGTATTAGTTTTAGGTACAGATAATGATCCATTGATTATTCCTTACTGACTGGACTTTTCCTTTAAGACCTATGAAAGAAGAGTAAAATGCCTTTTAAGACTTTAAGGATCCGTGTCTCGTTAATATATAACTCTAAATAAACGTCTAATTCAAAGTATCTTTTCCAACATGTCGTGAGTCTTTTAATCTCTAACATCTGTGGAGAAATCCAGGTGAGCTTCTCAGCCTAAAGCGGGCGTGTGTGGAGCGTGATTTAAAAGGAAAGGTACCATAAAGGGTTCAGAGCTCACCCTGCCGCCATACTGCAGCATGGGGGCCGGCAGGACGCGGCCCGTCACCTGAGCCATCTCATCCCGCACTCTGAACTGGAACTCCTGCACAAACGGGTCCGACTCGTAGTTGGCGCTCCTCACCTGCAGGGGGCGGTAGTAAAAGCTTTCTGTTGATCCTGAAACCCTGCAGAGAGGATGGTGTCTGTTCTGGTTCTGCTCTCACCAGGCGGCTGATCTCCTCCTGTCTGTCTGGAGCAGACCGCGCCGTGGCTTTGATCATGGTGGACGTCTGGTTGTCTGTTAGCTTCTTAATGCAGCGCTGACCGGGGACGATGTTACACACCTGCACACAGAAACAACAACAACCGATTCTTTGACTCTGCTTTATGAGAATCTCTGGATCATAAAGCAGCATAACAATCTTTACGGTTAACGGATGATAAGAACTAAGAATTTCTACCTTATTTAGTCTATAAACCCATCAGGACCAACAGCAGGAGCTCTGACGCATAAATAAGGACAACCCCAAAATAAAACCATCTTCTGCTCTTAAAAGGGAACGCCGTTTTTGTTTTTACATTGGCCCCTTCATTTTACGTTATTCCATCATGTTCTACTCACCCATACGAGTTTTGTGTCATTTGGAGCCGTTTTGAAGATATTCGGTTTTGTAATCCAAGTAAAAAACAAAGCAGAGTGTGTATGACGTCATCCACGCGCCAGACTGTAGTCGTGACGGGCAGCCCGGGCCACAGGCGGCTACGCTCTACCCCTTCTATTCATTCTAGCTAATCTGAATCGTTCATCTGGAGAGCGAGATCATCTGTGGTAGCAGCGTTAGACATCTTCCAGGCATGTGAGGAAAACTTGCAGCAGTTCAGCGGACAGGATAAAGGAACGGTAGCCGGCGCGCGCTGATGATGTCATACACACTCCGCTTTGCCCAATGTAAAAAAAACAGCGTTCCCCTTTAAATGTTAAAAACATTACAGATAAACTGAAATTAATGAGGTTTTTTTTTTAGATTAATTGTATTGCATCACATTTATTTCAAAAAGCCCGCAACCAAAATAAACATACTGGCAGGTATTTCAAACGATATAAATGGTTTATCTACCGCCGCACGACAAAATCACACATGCGCAAGAAACTGCCGCTGCGAGAGGAGAAAACTCTCTCCGCGCGTCTAAGCTCCTCCCACGCGCGCCCGGGATCGTGCTGGCGATCTCACCACGGGCACGATTTTCTATCCAGCGGTCACGCTCGAAGACGGCTGCGCTGTCGAAAGCGCCTCTGACCTCGGACTGGTTTGCTCCTTGCTTGAAGGAAAATGTGTTTTGACAGTTTGGGCGGAGACAAACCTTCTGATTGGGCCTCACAGAGACGATCAGACAGGAAGTGGTGTTAGGAAGCCGTTGCGTCTGTACCGCAGACGTTGGAGAAACCTCCACCACTGTTCCGCCTCCAGCAATCGTCTTCACTTATGGAAGACGAGCTGTCAGTCAAAGGATTCCTGACGCTACTGTACTTCCTGTGTGATCGAGTCTGCAAGGCCCAATCAGGAGGAGGCTTACAGAAGAAGGTTTGTCTCTGCCAAACCTGTCAAAACACATCTTCCTTCACGCCAGCAGGAAATCAGTCCGAGGGCAGAGGCGCTTTCGAGAGCGCAGCCGTCCTCGACGTGGCCGCTGGAAAGAAAATAGTGCTTGCGATCTTCTCTTAAACAGAGGGGGTGGACTCAGATTTCAGCTTTCAAAAACCTACAGTGCAACAATAGAGTTCCTCCCTTTCAGAGACATAGACAGGTATGGGGCATTGCAGGCTAACAGAGAAGCCAAACGACCCCCATTCCAAAGGGGGGGACCCGTTCATCCGTTTCTATTTGCATGTTTTCTAAACTAAAGCCAGGCTTTGTTGGGCTGCTGGATAAAACCTGGAACTAAACGCTATTTCTGACATTTTGAATTGAAAAATCTTCCTGGATGGAAGAGAAACGTCTTCAAACTTGGAAACAAAGTCCAGTTTTTTTAATCTTTTTTAGAAAAGTCTCCGATTAGTAAAAAGACATGATTACTAAAGAGCTCTGACTCAAACAGAATCAGTTTTTATAGAGAATTTGTTTATTTAAACAAATTTATCAAAGTTAATGAGGTCCAGTTAGGTCTGATGATGTTTTCTATTTTTTGAAAAGAGGAGTGACGTGAGCTTGTTCATGGTGAAGCTGTGCATCCTCACCTCCAGAGGCAGGTAGGTGTGCTTCTGCTCCTGGCCCACCTGCAGGCAGGGCAGGTGGGGGTACTTCAGCTGCAGACTGTACTTCTCCCTGAAGTACTGCGCCACAGTGCGCTCCACCGTCTGGCCGTTCTCCAGCTGCAGTGGAAACCTGGGAATTAAAACCACCAGCTGGTCAAACTGTATGGAGAGATACACTATATTGCCAAAAGTATTTGCTCACCCATCCAAATTATTGGAATCAGGTGTTCCAATCACTTCCATGGCCACAGGTGTATAAATTCAAGCACCTAGGCATGCAGACTGTTTTTACAAACATTTGTGAAAGAATGGGTCGCTCTCAGGAGCTCAGTGAATTCCAGCGTGGAACTGTGATAGGATGCCACCTGTGCAACAAATCCAGTCGTGAAATTTCCTCGCTCCTAAATATTCCACAGTCAACTGTCAGCTGTATTATAAGAAAATGGAAGTGTTTGGGAACGACAGCAACTCAGCCACGAAGTGGTAGGCCACGTAAACTGACGGAGCGGGGTCAGCGGATGCTGACGCGCATAGTGCGAAGAGGTCGCCAACTTTCTGCAGAGTCAATCACTACAGACCTCCAAACTTCATGTGGCCTTCAGATTAGCTCAAGAACAGTGCGCAGAGAGCTTCATGGAATGGGTTTCCATGGTCGAGCAGCTGCATCCAAGCCATACATCACCAAGTGCAATGCAAAGCGTCGGATGCGGTGGTGTAAAGCACGCCGCCACTGGACTCTAGAGCAGTGGAGACGCGTTCTCTGGAGTGACGAATCGCGCTTCTCCATCTGGCAATCTGATGGACGGGTCTGGGTTTGGCGGTTGCCAGGAGAACGGTACTTGTCTGACTGCATTGTGCCAAGTGTAAAGTTTGGTGGAGGGGGGATTATGGTGTGAGGTTGTTTTTCAGGAGCTGGGCTTGGCCCCTTAGTTCCAGTGAAAGGAACTCTGAATGCTTCAGCATACCAAGACATTTTGGACAATTCCATGCTCCCAACTTTGTGGGAACAGTTTGGAGCTGGCCCCTTCCTCTTCCAACATGACTGTGCACCAGTGCACAAAGCAAGGTCCATAAAGACATGGATGACAGAGTCTGGTGTGGATGAACTTGACTGGCCTGCACAGAGTCCTGACCTCAACCCGATAGAACACCTTTGGGATGAATTAGAGCGGAGACTGAGAGCCAGGCCTTCTCGTCCAACATCAGTGTGCGACCTCACAAATGCGCTTCTGGAAGAATGGTCAAAAATTCCCATAAACACACTCCTAAACCTTGTGGACAGCCTTCCCAGAAGAGTTGAAGCTGTTCTAGCTGCAAAGGGTGGACCGACGTCATATTGAACCCTATGGATTAGGAACGGGATGTCACTTAAGCTCATATGTGAGTCAAGGCAGGTGAGCAAATACTTTTGGCAATATAGTGTATTTGTGCCATCGGTTTGAGCGCGCAGGAACCAATCCGAGCGCGCAGTGAGACAACAAGCGCACGCGCAAAGCCGGTCTGGCGCGCGCTCAACTCTGTAAAACCCTCTCAACACACACTGTTCTCGCGCTCAGTTTCATCTCTGCGCGTGCTCGAATCCATCTCTGCTCGCGCTCGACCTGCTCTCTCTCCGCGCTCAACACCAGCTGTGCGCTCGGCTGTTTCTCCGCTCGCTCGACTCTCTGCGCTCGCAACTTCAGTAATGTATGTAAATGAACCATACCATCAGCCAATCACACTCAGCTTCTTTTCATCCAATGAAAGCATTCGTTCCTTCTTCTTCTTCTTTTTTATCATGGCGGATCGCAAGCAACTTTAAGGTGCATACCGCCACCTACTGTTCATGAGTGTGTAGCAACATTGTTTTAATCTATTAAATTCTATTTTTTTATTTTGTATTCTGCAGATAACTAATTAATGCTTTCCTTAATCTATAAATATCCTTTATATTTCCTTTATTTCCCAATAATCCTTTAAGACTCCATTCTTGGCCTGTCATTTCAACTACTCTTCTCAATTTCTCCCTTTCAGGTTCATATGTTTTACAGTTCATTAATACGTAAGCATTCGTTCCAAATACTACACCGGGTTAAATGAAAAAATAAAAATAAAAACACAATCAGGAAAATCAAACAACTCTTACAGTTATTTTGTCAACATTCCTAAGATGGTACTATAAAATATCTTGAATTATCTCAAATAAACTTCAGTAAAACAGTTATTAGATCATTGCCTCATCCATCTCTTTTACCTGCTATTGACATGGATTTAAATTTGCTGTTTTAAAAGAAAAATAAGGAGGATATTTCAGGTTCAAGTATGGTTCAACAATATATAGATAAAAAATATTATGGATATGTTAAATTTTTTATGGATGCTTCAAAATATTCCAATATTAGGAATGGTGTTTTGTTTTAGTTCCAGAATTTATTTTTAAATCGGGTAAAAGAATCAGTGATGGAATTCAGCCTACAAAGGAGAAAGGTTTTGGATCATATTGGCCTTACAATGGATTGAAGAAATCGTTCCATTAAGAAGTTTAGTTTGCTCTGATTTTAGATCAGCAACCGTTATATTAATTTAAACACAATTATTCAGACAGCAGACCTGATCTGAAATTTAACAATTATTATTTAGAAGACCTTTTACAGATGGACTCTAAATAAGAGGGTTATTCTTTATTATATATATTAAAAAGAATAATTTGATAAACAGGGTTTTTCAGTTGGTGGCGGTAATTGTTGTTTGCCAACCTCCATAAAAAACAACAAAAAGAAGAAACACCCGCCACAAAAGCTAAGAGTAAGGCCAATATGATCCAAAACATTATCTATATACTGTTGAACCATACTTGACCCTGAAATATCCTCCTTATTTTTCTTTTAAAACAGCAAATTTAAATCCATGTCAATAGCAGGTAAAAGAGATGGATGAGGCAATGATCTAATAACTGTTTTACTGAAGTTTATTTGAGATAATTCAAGATATTTTATAGTACTATCTTAGGAATGTTGACAAAATAACTGTAAGAGTTGTTTGATTTTCCTGATTGTGTTTTTATTTTTATTTTTTCATTTAACCCGGTGTAGTATTTGGAACGAATGCTTACGTATTAATGAACTGTAAAACATATGAACCTGAAAGGGAAAAATTGAGAAGAGTAGTTGAAAGGACAGGCCAAGAATGGAGTCTTAAAGGATTATTGGGAAATAAAGGAAATATAAAGGATATTTATAGATTAAGGAAAGCATTATTTAGTTATCTGCAGAATACAAAATTAAAAAATAGAATTTAATAGATGTAAAACAATGTTGCTACACAATCATGAACAGTAGGTGGCGGTATGCACCTTAAAGTTGCTTGTGATCCGCCATGATAAAAAAGAAGAAGAAGGAAGGAATGCTTTCATTGGATGAAAAGAAGCTGGGTGTGATTGGCTGATGGTATGGTTCATTTACATACATTGCTGAAGTTGCGAGCGCAGAGAGTCGAGCGAGCGGAGAAACAGCCGAGCGCACAGCTGGTGTTGAGCGCGGAGAGAGAGCAGGTCGAGCGCGAGCAGAGACGGATTCGAGCACGCGCAGAGATGAAACTGAGCGCGAGAACAGTGTGTGTTGAGAGGGTTTTACAGAGTTGAGCGCGCGCCAGACCGGCTTTGCGCGTGCGCGTGTTGTCTCACTGCGCGCTCGGATTGGTTCCTGCGCGCTCAAACCGATGGCACAAATATCTCTCCATAAAACTGGGAGCCGCCAGCAGCTGGGTGTAGAGAGTATGGAGTGATTGTGGCTCCATTATTCTTTCAAAAATACCATTCAGAAAGGAAACGTTGAAAACTTCCTAATCAAATAAAGGCTTTTAGAAGAACCGTTTTCTTTAATTTATCTTTTCTATATTTTTCTTGCTTATTTAGATTTTTTTAAATGTTTTTTATACTTTTATTTTGCAAATTCTAGATTTTTTATCTGCTCTTTTCAGATTTAATTTTAAAAGTTGCGTTCTTTTCAAATCGTGTCTTCTAGATCACTTTCTCATCACTTCAAGCCAAATCCAAACGCTTAATCAATGAAAACTTTGTTGCCAACGTCCAGCAGAGACGGTACATCGCTTTTGGTGTCCCCCAAGGATCAATTTGGGTTCCTAAAATGTTTTATTATATATAAACGACCTTAGACATATCTCAGCTAAATTTAAGTTTCCATTATTTGCAGACGACACCACCATAGTCTGCTCAGGGAAAGATCTACAGCTCCTTAGGACAAAAATCTCAGAATTAAACAAGTTAAAAAATGGTTAGATGATAATAAATTATCAAACTAAAATGATCATTTTCAGAAAACGACTGAAAGACATTTAAGTAAATGTTCGAATAAACAATATTAATATTGAGAGAGTTAATGAACATGCCCTGGGGAGCGTCCGGCTCCAGGCTGCACGTGATCCAAATGAGCCAATGAGCTGTCAGTCTGGGTTGCTGCTGCTGCTACTTTTAGACACAGCAGGCAAACCTGTGGCAAGCCGGGCGATGGGAAAGAAGGAGAAGACCATGAGAAAAAGAGAGCAGAGAAAGTGTGGACTGCTGGAAGAACTGCGGTGAACTGGTGAAAGAAAAGTGAAATGGCGTGCTCAAAGATGACCCTGCACATTTAGAGGATGTTTGGCTCAACCTGCTGCTGTGAAGCAGGATTCTCCACCATGAACAGAATCAACAATAAATCTGGATCCAGGCTCAAAATGAGCTCCTTGATATGTGCTTGAGAATGGCTTAGTCTCTGGTTAAACCCAGGTTTAAAGCCTTGCAGGGCAGCCTAAAGCCCACTGCCAACATTAAGACAGAAAAAAGAAAGAAAATAACAAACCATCAGTTCAGGGGTTTTAGTAAATATTAGAGGTGTGCAAAATAATCGTCATGATGATGCATGGTGATTCTAATTTTCGTAATCTACTGCATTGATTCTTGACTCCCAAGTATCGATTATTAATTTTAAAAAATGAATAAATAACATTGCATGAATTGTTGGCGAACATCAGCCAAAAACAAGTGTAATACAACTTCCAGTCCAGCAGATGTCGCTGCGGATGTGTTGACGCACGCTGCCTTGTGTCACAAGCATTTCCGGCCGCGGGATACTGCGCCGAGTCATTCAAAAACAAAACATGGAAGAGATTAAGAAACTTTGTCCGGCTCCATCACATTTCAAATCCGATGTTTGGAAGCATTTTGGTTTTAAAAACAAAGGTAAAAATGAAGTTGATATGACGCACGCAATTTGCAAACACTGCTACACCAGAATTAAATACTGTGGGAACACAACGAACCTAAAAACACACATGCAGAGGCGCCATCCAGAAAATCAAGAGCCGCCAGCGCCGCAAAATGTGCTTAAACAAACAATGTTCGATGGCAAGCTAGCCCAAACATCTACACGTGCAAAGAAAATGACAGAGTCAATCACCGAGTTCATTTGCCTGGATTTGCGACCATATGGTGTGGTGGAGAAAAGTGGGTTCAAAAAAATGATCAGCACACTGGAGCCTCATTATATAACCCCGAGCCGGAAACAGTTCACTGAAGTATTGGTCCCATAGATGTATGATGAGGTGAAACAACAGGTAAAAAAATGATAGTTTTATAAAGCCAATGCGCTTTTTTGTCTAAGTTTGTCCTCTTGTGTTTATGGAATGATATTGTTATAATGGCAGCTACGTCCAAAAGGGGAAATGTCATAAATTTGAATGTTTTCATTTCATTGAGATAATCCTTATTTTGTTATTTTTAGTTTTATAAATCCTAAGCACTTTTCTCCAGTGTGTCCACTCCAGCAATAGTAATATTGTGTCCAGTTACAGTAATATTTGTTTTTTTTCATGGCAACACCTCCAAAAGTCATTTCAATAAATACAGCTATGTAGGAATGCAGTTGCTTTCAGTTATTTATCAATTGGAAGGCACTACCCAGATCATACTCAGCCAGTCAGCCACTGGTAAGGGCTGGATCTTTTTCTAACAGTGTTCAGTGAAAACATTGCAATACATCACAATAATTCAAGTATCGTGATGCATCGTGATACAATCGCATCGTGGCCTATGAATCGTGATTGGAATCGAATCGTGACTTCTTTGCCAATACCCACCCCTAGTAAATATGGGAATCAGGAAATTGTCTATAAACCAAACTGAACGATTGTTGTTCTCTACTTAGGGTAAGCTCTTCAACTTCTATCTACGGTACACTGGAAAAAGATCTAGAAATAAGTAAAAATGTCTTCAATTAAGTGTATTTACCATTAATTTGAGTAGCTAAATGAGATAGTTTGCTAATGGAATTAGTAGTTTTACTCTTAAAATTTGATTAATTAGATAATTTGCACTTGAAATAAGACAATGCAATTGTGTTTTCTTATTTTAAGTGTAAATTCTCTTGTTTCGTTGGCAAAATGTCTCTTTTATCTCCTCAACCCAAGAAAAAATGCGCTTATTTTAAGTAAAAATTACTTCTCTAGATTTAAATTTTTTCCATTCTATTCCTTTTGAGCGATACTAACATCTCAATGTAAATCTTGCTTGTATTGTTGCTCAAAGAAATTAAAAAATGATAAAAAAAATTTAATTTTTCTAAATAAATCTGTGCTCATCCCTCCAGAGGAAAGCCTGCCCACCAGATTAAAAGGAGCATGATCTGGAAAATGGAATTAAAAAAAAAAATTCAATCAGAAAAAAGAGAAATCTGAAACATTTTGAAAAATAAAATCTGTAAATTTAAAATAAAACCAAATAAAGTTTCAATCAAAGCCTTATTTTATGATTAATAAGTTTTTCAAAGTTTAATTCCTGGATTGTATTATTATTTTTTTGGTTAAATCTTTTCTTTGCTTGCAGCAAAAATGAAACAAAATTCCCTCCATTAGTGTGAAGACTTACGTCTGCAGGCTGGCAGGCCGCCGGGTGACGTTACACACTCTGTACTTCCTGCGCATGCTTCCACAGTGGGTGACTTCCACTTTAAGACCTGCGGAGACGTTAAAAGAACATCAGGAACAGTCTGAATATGTTAAACATGAAAGAAACACGGAGGAGGCCGGTGCTGGACTCGCTTCAGCTGAGGCCCGCTGTAGCTACCAGATCTGCTGGGGTCCTGCTTCATGCCAGTGATGTTACGCTACATGATTGGCTGAACGTTGCCACGAAATTTAAAATACTGTGGTTGCCCAGACAACGACAATAACATCACGCAGCGTCCGTGTGCCGAGTCGGGAGCATCTGCAGCGTTAGCGCGTCTAATGACCGATGAAGTTTTACCTGATCGATAAGAAAACTGAAAATATTTTCTGTTTCTGGTGAACAAATTAACTGTTAGACCGTGATATAAAGGGGGACAGCTCGGTAGCGCTGTGGCTAGCTGTAGCTAACAGTTAGCCTCTTTTAGCTGAGTCAGTTAGCCAGATTAAGCTACATAACTTTTAGCTTCATGTCAACAACAACTGTTTGTTTCCTACAAGTAAAATAACGGTTTTATTCCTCTAAAATCTCTACAAAGTCATTTTTTAGGATGTCCCATTGTCCTTCTCTGCCCTCAGATCTTAATAAAAATAATAAAAATAAGCTGAGACTTTTTTTTGGTCATCTTGTTAAATAGCAGAACTCAGTCTGTCTTAGAAGGCAGGACTTTCCTTCCAGACTGACAATGATTGTTTTCTTCTTTCAGCTTCTTTAGATCGTCAATGAAATGTAAAATAATAGCAAATATAGAAAAAATTATATGTTGAGACTCCAAAAAAGATTTGATCCTTAAGAAACGGGTGTAATCCGAGTGGAGTTGCCATGTGATGACATCATAGGAAGGGGCGGGGCCCCGAGCAGATCTGGTAGCTACAGCGGTCACATACCTTTGATCTCTTTGGTGAACTTGACCCTGTGGGAGTCCGGCAGCGAGCGCGGCTGCTCGTCCATGTTGTGGATGTCCAGCACCTCACACATGAACTGGATGACCGGCTGGGCTTTGTAAAACGCTGTGGCTGAAACTGAAATGGCAACAGGAGAAAAATCGGAGCTGAAACACCTCAGAGAACCGGATCAAACGTACAGCAATCAGGACAGTCTAAAACTTATCAGGCATATTTTGGCTGTTTCTCAATTCACTAGAACCCGAGTACGGACTTGTGTCCTCGCCAAGTATATTCTTGAGAAGAACACATGAAAGTCTGGATTCGGGGAGCACGGGAGCATAGATATTGGTCAAATGGAACAGAAGCGTACTGATGACATCACCACATGCCCGGCTCATCTAGAACTGCATTTCACCTCCTGTTATTAATAGTCTCTAGATAATAATAAAGTACAACTTTTTTCATTTAGTGGAGGAATAGTAATGAACACATTCATATCTGCGTTAAATTCGACAGACGCACAGACAACCTGGTTTCTGAGCAAAAACTTTTATTAGTTGTTCCCTCTAAAGAGCGGCTACAGGGTTGTGCATAGGGGTGTAAATAATAATCGTTTCGTATTGATGCATCGATACGTCCGCAAGAAAATCGATTCATGTTTTTTTTTCTCCGGTCTATTTTTATCCATTTGCTCCTGGGCGTAATTCTCCCTCCCGTGCTGCGGTGGCGCTAAACCTATTTTGCCCTCCTGCCTCGCTTACTGGTTATACTCTTACAGCAGTGTGTTGCAGTGAGCTTGATGCAGACATTTTTGATTTATACTCAATATTGAAGCGTGGTCTGCGCTACACGCTGTGGGTCTAGATACGGCCGAGGCGGCGAGGAAGTGGGGGCGGGTTTAGTCCGACGACGGAGGGACATGAGGGCCAAAAAGAGCGGAGATCCAGGTGGAAAAAGGGTCCCAGCGTTCTCGCGCACCTCGCTCTTCTAACGGGTCAAACTTCGCGAGTTGTTTTTTTGCAATTTCGGTCATAAAAACAAAACAAGCCGGCCTCCTGTCTGCGGCACTGTCTGTGGTCAGCTACAATTTGGGAGAGGAGCAGCGGAGCGTCTGTGGAGGGGGCGGGACGTCTGGAGCCGAGGTATTGCATTGCACGGCTGTTCCAACCGTTTCATTTCCGAATTCTCCCTAGTGGTGCACGACTTTGCATGAGTGAATAAAGTGAATGTGATTGGTCGATTATCAAGGGGGCGGGATTGTTGTGGTGGAAGGTTCACAAGCAAGTTTGGTTGCTGCCGGTTTGTCAGAAGCATCTTGCTAACCAGTTAGCAACTTAGTGCTAGCAGGTTCCCAATGGGAAATTCCATTGGAACCAAGTAGCACTAAATTGGTGACTTAGAAACGACGCTGTCAAGGAACGCTATGGACAGCGGAAACATGCAAGAGGAGGAGAGTTTAGTGTCGGAGGTCGTGGATAAGTCTCCTCCGTCTTCCATTTTTTATTTAGAGGAGGAAAGCGGGGACGAAGATGTTGTGGAAGAGGACGCCAGGGCGGCAGAAGCTTGGTTTGGTGTAGAAGGCTTCCAGCCGTACATGTTTGAGCCCTTGCCTCGTAACGCTGCCAGTTCTGTTAGCTCTACGCCTGCCGAAGACACAGACGTCCATCCCCGTGAACACTGGGACGCAACTCAATGGGAAAGGAAAGGATTCTGATTTCAACCGTTGCGTATATTAGCTGCGACATATGAATCAAGATGCTATGATCGAAAGTATTTGATTGACAGATGACCGTTGATATATGATTGGCCGAATTTAGGTGTTCAGGCTGACGTAGAACTAACTGGCCTGCAGAATAAAAAAAAAAACACAGAATTTTAAGACAGGATTTTTTATTTTTTTTATAGAAATGTTCTAACTTTTCTAACTACATTTTTATACATGTTTAAGTCAGAATGGTTTAACATTTAAATATGATTTCCCGTCAACTTTAACTAATTAACCAAACCAGAGCTCGTTTGCTCCGTGACCTCTGTCGTCACTCACCATCGATGTTCAGCATCATCTTCCACATGGCGGGCCTCACCGACTGATGGAAACCGAACCAAACCTCCCGCCCTCCCCCCAGCGGGTGGTCGTAGCCCTCAGGGGAGGAGAAGAAGGATCGTCCCACCGGGGTGTACCTGGTGGGGGTATGAAGACCAGAACCGTCACTCATCTCCGCTCCTGGGTTTCTCTGAAACCGTTACGTGACGTGAAGAAATACCGACTTCATGGAGGGCAGGTGGCGCAGGACCACGTCCACCGCGTGAACCGGGTTGGTGCTGAGTGGCTTGTCCAGGTCCAGCGGTTCTGGAACGCCACGTCCCGTCAGGACTTCGTGGAGCAGGTGCCAACTGACCAGGGAGACGAATCGGATGGAGACCTTAAAGGGGCGGTCCTTCCCACCTTCCCCCGGCAGGGTGACGTCCAGATCCACCTGAGGAGGAACAGAGAGAGTCAAGCTGACTCCAGCTGGAACAAACCTTCCCGGATTGTCCCTGTGACGGACGGCGGCTGAACCAGAGCCTTACCCCTCCTGTGGCGACAGGAAGTGGACTGGCGGTGTAGAGGCTTCTCTTCCCGTCGTAGACCGGCATCCGGTCGCCAAAGATGGTCACCTTGAAGTGCTGCACCATGGAGTCCACCACCTCCCTGGAGGAAGACCACAAAGCATCAAGTTTAGAGGTTTCCCAGCCGGTGGACAGAAGGACAGGTGGACAGAAAGACAGGAGGCCGTTTGGACAGTTGGACAGAAGGTCAGAATGACGGTTGGACAGAAGGACAGGATGACAGAAGGACATGAAGACATGAGGACAGAGGGTCAGGATGACAGGTGGACAGAAGGACAGGATCACGGTTGGTAAGAAAGGTCAGGATGACAGGTGGACAGGAGGACATGATGACAGGTGGACAGAAGGACAGGATGACGGTTGGTAAGAAAGGTCAGGATGACAGGTGGACAGGAGGACAGGATGACAGGTGGACAGAAGGACAGGATGACAGGTGGACAGGAGGACATGATGACAGGTGGACAGAAGGACAGGATGACGGTTGGTAAGAAAGGTCAGGATGACAGAAGAACATGATGATATAAGGAGAGGAGGACGGGATGACAGGTGGACAGAAGGACAGGATCACGGTTGGTAAGAAAGGTCAGGATGACAGGTGGACAGAAGGACAGGATGACAGGTGGACAGGAGGACAGGATCACGGTTGGTAAGAAAGGTCAGGATGACAGGTGGACAGGAGGACAGGATCACGGTTGGTAAGAAAGGTCAGGATGACAGGTGGACAGGAGGACATGATGACAGGTGGACAGAAGGACAGGATGACGGTTGGTAAGAAAGGTCAGGATGACAGAAGAACATGATGATATAAGGAGAGGAGGACGGGATGACAGGTGGACAGAAGGACAGGATGACAGGTGGACAGGAGGACATGATGACAGGTGGACAGAAGGACAGGATGACGGTTGGTAAGAAAGGTCAGGATGACAGAAGAACATGATGATATAAGGAGAGGAGGACGGGATGACAGGTGGACAGAAGGACAGGATGACAGGTGGACAGGAGGACAGGATCACGGTTGGTAAGAAAGGTCAGGATGACAGGTGGACAGGAGGACATGATGACAGGTGGACAGAAGGACAGGATGACAGGTGGACAGGAGGACATGATGACAGGTGGACAGAAGGACAGGATGACGGTTGGTAAGAAAGGTCAGGATGACAGAAGAACATGATGATATAAGGAGAGGAGGACGGGATGACAGGTGGACAGCAGGACAGGTGGACAGAAGGACAGGATGACAGGTGGACAGGAGGACATGATGACAGGTGGACAGAAGGACAGGATGACGGTTGGTAAGAAAGGTCAGGATGACAGAAGAACATGATGATATAAGGAGAGGAGGACGGGATGACAGGTGGACAGCAGGACAGGTGGACAGAAGGACAGGATGACAGGTGGACAGGAGGACATGATGACAGGTGGACAGAAGGACAGGATGACGGTTGGTAAGAAAGGTCAGGATGACAGAAGAACATGATGATATAAGGAGAGGAGGACGGGATGACAGGTGGACAGAAGGACAGGATGACAGGTGGACAGGAGGACATGATGACAGGTGGACAGAAGGACAGGATGACGGTTGGTAAGAAAGGTCAGGATGACAGAAGAACATGATGATATAAGGAGAGGAGGACGGGATGACAGGTGGACAGAAGGACAGGATGACAGGTGGACAGGAGGACAGGATCACGGTTGGTAAGAAAGGTCAGGATGACAGGTGGACAGGAGGACATGATGACAGGTGGACAGAAGGACAGGATGACAGGTGGACAGGAGGACATGATGACAGGTGGACAGAAGGACAGGATGACGGTTGGTAAGAAAGGTCAGGATGACAGAAGAACATGATGATATAAGGAGAGGAGGACGGGATGACAGGTGGACAGCAGGACAGGTGGACAGAAGGACAGGATGACAGGTGGACAGGAGGACATGATGACAGGTGGACAGAAGGACAGGATGACGGTTGGTAAGAAAGGTCAGGATGACAGAAGAACATGATGATATAAGGAGAGGAGGACGGGATGACAGGTGGACAGCAGGACAGGTGGACAGAAGGACAGGATGACAGGTGGACAGGAGGACATGATGACAGGTGGACAGAAGGACAGGATGACGGTTGGTAAGAAAGGTCAGGATGACAGAAGAACATGATGATATAAGGAGAGGAGGACAGGATGACAGGTGGACAGAAGGACAGGATGACAGGTGGACAGAAGGACAGGATGACAGGTGGACAGGAGGACATGATGACAGGTGGACAGAAGGACAGGATGACGGTTGGTAAGAAAGGTCAGGATGACAGAAGAACATGATGATATAAGGAGAGGAGGACGGGATGACAGGTGGACAGAAGGACAGGATGACAGGTGGACAGAAGGACAGGATGACAGGTGGACAGAAGGACAGGATGACAGGTGGACAGAAGGACAGGATGACAGGTGGACAGAAGGACAGGATGACAGGTGGACAGGAGGACATGATGACAGGTGGACAGAAGGACAGGATGACAGGTGGACAGAAGGACAGGATGACAGGTGGACAGGAGGACATGATGACAGGTGGACAGAAGGACAGGATGACGGTTGGTAAGAAAGGTCAGGATGAAAGAAGGACATGAAGATATAAGGACAGGAGGACGGGATGACAGGTGGACAGAAGGACAGGATGACAGGTGGACAGGAGGACATGATGACAGGTGGACAGAAGGACAGGATGACGGTTGGTAAGAAAGGTCAGGATGAAAGAAGGACATGAAGATATAAGGACAGGAGGACGGGATGACAGGTGGACAGAAGGACAGGATGACAGGAGGACATGATGACAGGTGGACAGAAGGACATGATGACAGGTGGACAGAAGGACAGGATGACGGTTGGTAAGAAAGGTCAGGATGACAGAAGGACATGAAGATATAAGGACAGGAGGACGGGATGACAGGTGGACAGAAGAACAGGATGGCAGGGGGACAGATGGACCCGTTCTGTGTCCTCTGGTACCTGTTGACCCGTCGGGGACATTTCTCCGGCTTGATGTCCACCTCGTACAGGTAAACGTCGATCTTAGGGATTTCCACCTGGAAGCAGTTGGCCAGGAGCTTGATGGGCTTTCCGATGGAGCCATATCCGGGTCGCCGTGGCAACGTAAACAAGGTTTGGGCTCCTGGGGAAAAGAGATAGAGAACTGTTAGGAAACAAAAGTTCATCTGAAACTGACATTTATTAAACGCTGATCAGCAGCGTCTTCTTTTCAGTCAGCTGAATGTTCCTGTTGACATCTGTGTCCCTAATTGGCCCTAACATCCTGGTATTTTGGATGTGGGCGTGGCTACAAACCGGGGCGCAATCTTCAATAAACGGCGGCAGCTCATTCACAAAAACAATTATTATAATTATGTTGATTTTATAGTAAAAGTCTTTTTTTTCCATTCATTTATTCTTTAAAGGATTTAATAATTGAATAGTATTCATAACTAATATATTTAGAGATTAAATGATTCAATTTTACAATTTTATGTTTTATATATATATAATACGAACATCAATACAAATAAGATATATTTATGCTTTAACATTTATTATGCTTAATATTGTTTTATTATTCTATATTCCAAATGTTTGTTTATTTAAAAATGTTAATCATACAAAAAGTGTCATTTTTAGATTAATGAATAAAAACGGGACGGATGAATCGATTGCTGAAATAAACCCTACTTCCTGGTTTCCTTCAGTCTGGGATCAGGAGTTTTCCACTGATTTCTATTTATTCACTGGATTGCTAAAAAAAGTGAAGCCACTGGCCGCCATGTTGATACTCCTTCCTCGGGATTTAGAGACTTCATTGACGTGATGTGATGCGTCTATTTTTTTATTCTAATTTAAATTTAATCTACTGATGCTATGAAACAGCCAGTCTGTGTCAAAGTGATGAATTTATCTTTATTTTAAAAGTCTTAAGTCCTCCTGAATATGAGAACATCATCGTTGTTTGATGCTGCAGCGCACAGATTGTTTACAGTGCGACCGGTTTAACTAGGGAGTACCAATATGGCGGCCGTTAGCTTAACTTTATCCCAGTACTACAAACAGGCATCAGCAATACGGTGAATAAATAGAGATCAGATGAGTTTAATCTATACATTTGCTTGCATTTTTTCTATGCTTCACTCCAAGAGATCTGTCAGATTTCAAAGATCAGTGACAGTTAATCTAGGTCACAATTCAATCACCTAATTAACTGATGGTTCTTTGAATAAGTGATTAATCAGAATCAGGTGAAGGTGAGGCTGGGACTCGGTTCCGATGAGCTGAGCTGGAAGCAGACGGGCTGCAGGAAGGAAGTGAGTCTGAAGCTGAAGACGATCCAGAAGGTTCTGAACTACAAACTGAGAAGTTCTGCTTCTGATGAGGAAGAAGAAAAGTGGATGAAAGAGTCAGAGAGAGGGAGGGCGCTCTGCCAAACTGTCGCCATGGTGACAGCATCGATGTTGCTATGGTGACGGCAAGCAGGGGGGTAAGAGGTAAACAAGTGCATTGGGCTCATCATCATCTGAAATTAGATTTAAGCCTCAGAGGATCAGGAACCAGGAATCCTTCTGAGGAATGATGGGAAAAAAAACGGCGAGCCATCAGGACGGGAAAGATCTGCCTCCCCGCGGCGAAAACCCAAATGGAACCAGAGCAACGAACAGAACCATTGGCTGGTAAAAATCCAAACCTCTGGGATCAGAACCAGGTCTCTGGAGCCTCTCAGACTCCAGAGACTAGGGCTCCAGGTCTCTGGAGCCTCTCGGGATCAAGGTCTCTTGGAGCCTCTCGGGCTCCAGAGTCTCGGGATCCAGGTCCCTGGAACGTCTCAGGCTCAAGGTCTCTGGAACCTCTCAGACTCCAGGTCTCTGGAGCCTCTCAGACTCCAGGTCTCTGGAACCTCTCAGACTCCAGGTCTCTGGAACCTCTCAGACTCCAGGTCTCTGGAACCTCTCAGACTCCAGGTCTCTGGAACCTCTCAGACTCCAGGTCTCTGGAGCCTCTCAGACTCCAGGTCTCTGGAAGCCTCTCAGACTCCAGGTCTCTGGAGCCTCTCAGACTCCAGGTCTCTGGAGCCTCTCAGACTCCAGGTCTCTGGAACCTCTCAGACTCCAGGTCTCTGGAGCCTCTCAGACTCCAGGTCTCTGGAACCTCTCAGACTCCAGGTCTCTGGAACCTCTCAGACTCCAGGTCTCTGGAGCCTCTCAGACTCCAGGTCTCTGGAGCCTCTCAGACTCCAGGTCTCTGGAGCCTCTCAGACTCCAGGTCTCTGGAGCCTCTCAGACTCCAGGTCTCTGGAGCCTCTCAGACTCCAGGTCTCTGGAACCTCTCAGACTCCAGGTCTCTGGAACCTCTCAGACTCCAGGTCTCTGGAACCTCTCAGACTCCAGGTCTCTGGAACCTCTCAGACTCCAGGTCTCTGGAACCTCTCAGACTCCAGGTCTCTGGAACCTCTCAGACTCCAGGTCTCTGGAGCCTCTCAGACTCCAGGTCTCTGGAACCTCTCAGACTCCAGGTCTCTGGAACCTCTCAGACTCCAGGTCTCTGGAACCTCTCAGACTCCAGGTCTCTGGAACCTCTCAGACTCCAGGTCTCTGGAACCTCTCAGACTCCAGGTCTCTGGAACCTCTCAGACTCCAGGTCTCTGGAACCTCTCAGACTCCAGGTCTCTGGAACCTCTCAGACTCCAGGTCTCTGGAACCTCTCAGACTCCAGGTCTCTGGAACCTCTCAGACTCCAGGTCTCTGGAACCTCTCAGACTCCAGGTCTCTGGAACCTCTCAGACTCCAGGTCTCTGGAACCTCTCAGACTCCAGGTCTCTGGAGCCTCTCAGACTCCAGGTCTCTGGAACCTCTCAGACTCCAGGTCTCTGGAACCTCTCAGACTCCAGGTCTCTGGAACCTCTCAGACTCCAGGTCTCTGGAGCCTCTCAGACTCCAGGTCTCTGGAACCTCTCAGACTCCAGGTCTCTGGAACCTCTCAGACTCCAGGTCTCTGGAACCTCTCAGACTCCAGGTCTCTGGAACCTCTCAGACTCCAGGTCTCTGGAACCTCTCAGACTCCAGGTCTCTGGAGCCTCTCAGACTCCAGGTCTCTGGAACCTCTCAGACTCCAGGTCTCTGGAACCTCTCAGACTCCAGGTCTCTGGAACCTCTCAGACTCCAGGTCTCTGGAGCCTCTCAGACTCCAGGTCTCTGGAACCTCTCAGACTCCAGGTCTCTGGAACCTCTCAGACTCCAGGTCTCTGGAACCTCTCAGACTCCAGGTCTCTGGAACCTCTCAGACTCCAGGTCTCTGGAACCTCTCAGACTCCAGGTCTCTGGAGCCTCTCAGACTCCAGGTCTCTGGAGCCTCTCAGACTCCAGGTCTCTGGAACCTCTCAGACTCCAGGTCTCTGGAGCCTCTCAGACTCCAGGTCTCTGGAGCCTCTCAGACTCCAGGTCTCTGGAGCCTCTCAGACTCCAGGTCTCTGGAGCCTCTCAGACTCCAGGTCTCTGGAGCCTCTCAGACTCCAGGTCTCTGGAACCTCTCAGACTCCAGGTCTCTGGAGCCTCTCAGACTCCAGGTCTCTGGAGCCTCTCAGACTCCAGGTCTCTGGAGCCTCTCAGACTCCAGGTCTCTGGAGCCTCTCAGACTCCAGGTCTCTGGAACCTCTCAGACTCCAGGTCTCTGGAACCTCTCAGACTCCAGGTCTCTGGAGCCTCTCAGACTCCAGGTCTCTGGAACCTCTCAGACTCCAGGTCTCTGGAGCCTCTCAGACTCCAGGTCTCTGGAACCTCTCAGACTCCAGGTCTCTGGAACCTCTCAGACTCCAGGTCTCTGGAGCCTCTCAGACTCCAGGTCTCTGGAGCCTCTCAGACTCCAGGTCTCTGGAACCTCTCAGACTCCAGGTCTCTGGAACCTCTCAGACTCCAGGTCTCTGGAACCTCTCAGACTCCAGGTCTCTGGAAGCCTCTCAGACTCCAGGTCTCTGGAGCCTCTCAGACTCCAGGTCTCTGGAGCCTCTCAGACTCCAGGTCTCTGGAGCCTCTCAGACTCCAGGTCTCTGGAGCCTCTCAGACTCCAGGTCTCTGGAGCCTCTCAGACTCCAGGTCTCTGGAGCCTCTCAGACTCCAGGTCTCTGGAGCCTCTCAGACTCCAGGTCTCTGGAGCCTCTCAGACTCCAGGTCTCTGGAGCCTCTCAGACTCCAGGTCTCTGGAGCCTCTCAGACTCCAGGTCTCTGGAGCCTCTCAGACTCCAGGTCTCTGGAGCCTCTCAGACTCCAGGTCTCTGGAGCCTCTCAGACTCCAGGTCTCTGGAACCTCTCAGACTCCAGGTCTCTGGAGCCTCTCAGACTCCAGGTCTCTGGAGCCTCTCAGACTCCAGGTCTCTGGAGCCTCTCAGACTCCAGGTCTCTGGAACCTCTCAGACTCCAGGTCTCTGGAGCCTCTCAGACTCCAGGTCTCTGGAGCCTCTCAGACTCCAGGTCTCTGGAGCCTCTCAGACTCCAGGTCTCTGGAGCCTCTCAGACTCCAGGTCTCTGGAGCCTCTCAGACTCCAGGTCTCTGGAGCCTCTCAGACTCCAGGTCTCTGGAGCCTCTCAGACTCCAGGTCTCTGGAACCTCTCAGACTCCAGGTCTCTGGAACCTCTCAGACTCCAGGTCTCTGGAGCCTCTCAGACTCCAGGTCTCTGGAGCCTCTCAGACTCCAGGTCTCTGGAGCCTCTCAGACTCCAGGTCTCTGGAGCCTCTCAGACTCCAGGTCTCTGGAGCCTCTCAGACTCCAGGTCTCTGGAGCCTCTCAGACTCCAGGTCTCTGGAGCCTCTCAGACTCCAGGTCTCTGGAGCCTCTCAGACTCCAGGTCTCTGGAGCCTCTCAGACTCCAGGTCTCTGGAGCCTCTCAGACTCCAGGTCTCTGGAGCCTCTCAGACTCCAGGTCTCTGGAACCTCTCAGACTCCAGGTCTCTGGAGCCTCTCAGACTCCAGGTCTCTGGAGCCTCTCAGACTCCAGGTCTCTGGAACCTCTCAGACTCCAGGTCTCTGGAGCCTCTCAGACTCCAGGTCTCTGGAGCCTCTCAGACTCCAGGTCTCTGGAGCCTCTCAGACTCCAGGTCTCTGGAGCCTCTCAGACTCCAGGTCTCTGGAGCCTCTCAGACTCCAGGTCTCTGG